TGTGTGTGTGTGTGTGTGTGTGTGTGTGTGTGTGTGTGTGTGTGTGTGTCATGCAATTTATGTTGTTTTCATGCATCCCTGAACATATCTGGCTAAATTGCAGAACACCCGAGTATAGTGCATATACATATATATATATATATATATTTATATACATATATGTATAGATTGATAGAAAACAATACGAACAATCTTAAGTGATAACATAACATAGTTAGTAAATGAAATTTTGTATTTTCAAAATACGAAACGTTTTATATATACTAACAAGAACCAATTTCATTTTGTTTTAAATAGATTTAAAATCTAACAAAAACGCGGGATTCAATGTCCTATTTTGTTACATTTTTCGATTTTTTATATTTTCAGACGCCGGTGAACTGCAATAACACGTTTGAAAATTTTGAAAATCGAGCAACGAATTGAGATAAAATTTATGGACATGCTCGTAAGAAAAGAATTTTTTCCAAACATTTAATTATTTCAAAAATTGTCTAAAAGAAACAGCTAAAATATAATAATGATTCTTGAATATCTCACTACAAAAATGACGTGTGGGGGCTTTCAATAAATATGAAATCAACAGAGATACCAAAACAAAATATCTGGCGTTTGTTCAAACTTTCGGTTTCACTCATCAACATATTAATAGATTACTGTCAACATTTATTACGTTTATCCGCAAACTCTGTAACGCTCTGTAGTAATGCAAACGGTGTACAGTGCACGACAACGACAACGATGTCATGCACAATCATGCACAATCCATGCGCACAGCGAATTTAGGTAACGTATTAATACTACGCACACGTGGTGATCTAAACGAAGATGACGATGGACAAGCGAGGGACTATCACTGCGATAACAAACTCCGCTGCTATGTAATACTATTGTGTTAGGGTTCTGCCACACTGCAGTTTTTTCGCCGTTCGTATGAATCCTAACACGATATTCTGAACGTTGGCTTCAAAAACATTGATGTGTAAATGTTGACTGAATATTGAAACCAATGTTTGACTCATGGATACAGCGTCATGTTGGAATGTTGGATGCATACTTCTCTCCGGTGTATATCTGTATGCGAATTTATACACACTTAAGAACTTAATTTAACTTGAAAAAGCCGTAGAAAAACAGAGTAAAAAAATAAACGGATGACATGATTGCAGCTGCTGCCACTGTAATTTTGTAATTTTACTATCTTGCGGTAAGTTATTAATTCAGAAAAAAAGAGAAAAAGACGTGCAAGGAGGTGGCAGATGTTGTCTTTAAACGGGAGTGGAGAACGGTAATTCGAGTCTGGATGCAGGACCACACGTGTCACATCGTGTAACCGTATACCACAATAATAGTTGCAAATTGCTTCCAAAGTCGGATACTACTTTGACGCGGGTTGAAAACACCGACTTTCAGCAGGAATCGCATTCCGACGCCAACGTCGGATACAAACGTTCGACGCTCGACACACGGATTACCGCTACACGACGAGGGAAAACTATCACGTGGTCAACGTTTGAATGTATTGGACAGGCATCACGTAACACCACCTCGACAAGACTGCACGCAAATTCCGGAACGGGGATGACCGTGTAGCCTTTTAAGAATTTCGTGAGTTCATGTCGCGCGCAACGCGTGCACGACAAAAATCCTGTGCGTACGCGTTGTCGTTACACAGCATGTACTTTTGATCATGAACGCATACGAATGTACACCCATAGACGCATAGTGTTCGCCATAAACACGTTTGACGCAAAACTACATGCGTCCGGACCAACGTTGGGCACAGATAACTTAAAATGTAACTAGATTAAGATAAGTTAGCCAGTAAAAATGTATTTAATAAATAGATAAAAAACAATAAAAATAAGTATTATCTAGATGAAGATAAAAGATAAAATATAAACATCTAGATAAAAAAAAAAAATGATGAAAACGGTTTTAATTAATTTTTGGTAACCATATGTGATATAAGCGCATCATAAACGAGAATATTTAAGTACAATTACTGGCACTGAAGTAAATTATAGGTAACTATTGTTATAAATCAGGGATGGCAAATCCATGGCACGCGAAAAGATTTTGTGAGCATGCCAAAAGTTTTACTATTATATATTATATAGTATATAATATTATAGGACCTATAATATAATATAAATAATTAACAAAGCAATATTATTATAATTAGTATTATTATTTATTATATATTATTATTATTATTATTATTATTATGTACCTAAACTAACCTTTTTATACTAATACATTAATTATATAATCAAATTATAATATAACAAAACATAATATTTTTAATTTTTTTTTTATGACACGCTCTTTAAAAGAAAAAAAAAAGGTAATTTTGGGAACGAAGTGTTCAAAAGGTTTGCCATCCCTGTTATAAATAAACCATAGTTTTTAATGTGTTGAATAATTATTTAATGTAGATACTAACTGTAACTTATAAAATTGGACTTTCATGTATTTACCATCATCTTTCACGATTTTGTAAAAGTTTTTACCGTACAGGTAAGAACATCGTTAAATTTATCTGTTCTGGTAGTTCAGTACGATTTTGTTCATCTTTTTCGCATAATTTTTGTTTTTATGATTTAATTTAATTACAAATTTTTCCATATTTAAATAGTAAACTAAAACTAACCGACAAGTTATAACTTTATATAATGATTAATGAATAACCACTGAAAAATGGCTACAGATAGAGGAAAATTAATTGAAAGAAGACGAGTATTAAGTGTTTTTATTGTTTTGTTTCTCTGAATGTTATTTTTTGCTATCGTAAATATTTCACTATGGACGAATAAAATTCTAAAATTAACGATCATTTAAATACATATTCCTATATATCATTGAACCAGAAGACAGACTAAATAATTTCTACACGTCATTAGTGTATAATGTT